ATAGCCAACATGAACATCCTCGTGTCTTGTTTGCTTGTGGTTAAGCACAAAGCTATACAATGGACTATCTGTGCTGTATCCATCACGAGTATCGAAACCAAGTTTCTAGTATTGAAAGTATGCAGACATAGTGCTGATCCACTGGGGGGGTCCTTGTATCACCCTGGATCTGAAGAGTTGGCTGTATAGCCAATAGAAACATCCTCATGTCACTCTTAAGTTTCAGTAAATCACTAGTTTGATGATGATGAATAATAGTGTTAATTTTAATTTACCAAGCATTAATATCAATATAATGCCTTATTATTCTATGTGTATGTTATTCCTGATGCTAGCCTTATATCTGCTGATAGGGGGAGTGTTGTTTGTATTCACTGCCACAGAGGACCGGAGAGGCAAAAGTACATATTGTAAATCCACCAGAAGCTTGATTAAAACAAGCTTTGGTTCAATTACACACACACACACCTGGTTGTCCTGAAAGTTATTAGCCTGCGTATGATGAGTTGGAACATTCTGATTCTCAGCAGAGAAGATAAAAACAATTTCATGAAAGTAGAAGGTAATTTTCTTTCCTTTTATTATTATTTGTTTTAAGTTACGATAAAAACAAGAGCTTGAATATCATACTCATATAGAGCTCACTAAGTACACAAAGGTGAGAATTACATTTACAGAATATATAGACATGCAACACTTACATCCTATGGAAGAATGACCATTTAATATTATCACAAACACATTTCAAATTAAATCTTACAATACATCTTAAGAGTTACTGTCATATTACAATTACAACAGACAAAGGTAAATTAAATAAAACCAACAATATATGAACCAAACGTTTTCTACTTCTAGATATCTACATATCTCTTATATAACAAATTTCAAAGCCAACATTATTCCCTTTGAAACTTACTATGCTACGTACAATATAAAAACAAACCTGTTAATACCAGTTGAATTAGTGTTGCCACAAAAGTAACAAATTATTTCCTCCAAAGTAATAACACTTGAAAAATTTACGTCAACAAAAATACTTCTGAAGAGAGAAGTTACAGCCTCCAGATTTACAACAACTGAATTTTTTTTTGTCAAAACAGCTTTAACAGATAATTTATTATTGTCACAAATACATTTCTGTTAACTTAAGAGAATAGTTTATGGAATCTTTCCTGTAAAATGAAGACTTAAAGGCACAAGTATAAAATTTTAAAATACAATATCATGTCATTCCTTAACTTGAAGAGGGGAATACAAAGCTAATTTATATACACTGTTTACTGTTTTTGCCTTAACTGGAAAAACACTAATCTGATGTACAGTTTACAAACAGGCAATTAGCAGAAACCTTGGCGAAAACGTCGTGCCTTTAGCTCCAAGAAGGTAGACAAAAAGACAGGTGGGGGACGGAATATCACGTGCTGGTTACATACTTTGGTCCAACGAACACCACTTTCATTATAACCTGAAAATTAGACATCATCAAGAGGAACATGAATAACACTGGTGTTTTATCTGTGGTCCAGCCAACATAAGACACTACACAGTTAAGTACAAAGTTACACTGTACATTAAGAGGGAGTAATATAGCACTGATCCTAGTTTCATATCTGCATTACACTTAACAATGTACATGTTTATAAAAACTAAAAAACTTAATTGTTATTGTCATAAAAAAAAAGATTATTTCTAAGACTGTCAAACCTTCAAAAAAAAACAAATAAAATAAAAACAAATGATTCTCAAACCTTATTGTAGTCTAATCTGGATTATTCTAAAAATATAAATTTCTGAATTGAAAAACTGAAATTGTCATGAATATACATTTCAAAAAAAAAATTCTGACCTCAACCAACATCCTCCTGGCAAAATATGGATTTATCACTATACCTACCCCCCACTGACTGATTACAGTTTCCACACTATACCTACCCCCCCACTGACTGAGTACAGTTTCCACACTATACCTACCCCCCACTGACTGAGTACAGTTTCCACACTATACCTACCCCCCACTGACTGAGTACAGTTTCCACACTATACCTACCCCATGACTGATAACAGTTTCCAAACTATACCCTACCCCCACTGACTACGATTACAGTTTACCACTACTATACCTACCCCCACTACGACTCAGTAACTAC